TCGGGGAGGGCCAGAGCCGCTCGGCCGGGACCAGTGCGCTCCACTGGAACCGGGGCCAACGCCCCAAGGCCCGAGCCGAGCCGGACCTGCCGGGGCCCGAGCCAGAACGGCCGGGGTTGGTGCGCTCCGCCGGAACCAGGGCCAGCGCCCCAGGGCCCGAGCCGAGCCGGGCCAGAGCCGCCAGGGCTGGAGCCGCTCGGCCGGGGCTGGTGGCCCAAGCCAATCTGGAACCGCCAGGGCTCGGGCGGGCCAGGGCTGGCGCGCTCGGCTGGAACTGGGGCTGGCACCCCAGGGCCTGAGCCGAGCCGCTCGGCCAGGGGGCCGGACTGGGCCGCACCTCCTCGCGCCCCCCCGCCCCAGCTTACCTGCTGCCTGCCTCCCTGGTTCAGGCTTCCCGCGAACATTTGATTCGCGGGAAGCAGGGGAGGGGGAGGAGCAGGGGGGCAGAGCGTTCAGGGGAGGGGGCAGAGTTGGGATGGGGACTTTGGGAAAGGGGCGGAGTTGGGGTGGGGCTGGGGCAGGGAAGGGGTCGGAGTTGGGGCGGGGCCCCTTGGAGTGTCCTCTTTTTGTTGTTTTAAAAAATGGTAACCCTACACTAAGCCGATAGTGACAGTTAATTAGCTGTCCTTGTAGCACAGCCAACAATCCAGAATCTTTCTAAAGTTCTAAATTCTGCGTTTTGATAACACACACACACACCCCAACCATGAAACATACACACTATAAGGAGAATGATCAGTTAAGGTGAGCTATTATCAGCAGGAGAGAAAAAACTGTTTGTAGTGGTAATGAAAATGGCCCATTTCCAGCAATTGACAAGAAGATGTGAGGAACTTTAGGGGAGGGGAAAATAAGCATGGGGAAATAGTTTTACTTTGTGTAATGGCCCATCCACTCCCAGTCTTTATTCAAGCCTAATTTAATGGTGTCCAATTTGCAAATTAATTCCAATTCAGCCGTCTCTCATTGGAGTATGTTTTTGAAGTTTTGTTGTTGTAATATTGCGACTTTTAGGTCTGTAATCGAGTGGCCAGGGAGACTGAAGTGTTCTCCAACTGGTTTTTGAATGTTATAATTCTTGACGTCTGGTTTGTGTCCATTTATTCTTTTACAACATGGTTTCTGTAAAGGGAAATCGTGTGTTACTAATCTATTAGAGTTCTTTGAAGGGGCCAACAAACATGTGGACAAGGGGAATCCAGTGGACATAGTGTACTTAGATTTCCAGAAAGCCTTTGACAAGATCCCTCACCAAAGGCTCTTAAGTAAAGTAAGTTGTCATGGGATAAAAGGGAAGGTCCTTTCATGGATTGAGAGCTGGTTAAAAGACCGGGAACAAAGGGTAGGAATTAATGGTAAATTCTCAGAATGGAGAGGGGTAACTAGTGGTGTTCCCCAAGGGTCAGTGCTCGGACCAATCCTATTCAACTTATTTATAAATGATCTAGAGGAAGGGGTAAACAGTGAGGTGGCAAAGTTTGCAGATGATACT